AATAATCAACTTTAAAACTATTGTACAATATTGACTTGCGTATATGCATCATTCAAAGATTTACTTTTCTGACATATGGTGACAAAAACTGGAACGTGTGACAGCGTTATCTTTGTAGCAAAACTTTTTAAACTTGTAATTCGAAACAAATCTAAAATTTTTTATCTTAATTTCTGGAATTTCAGCTCTTTCAGCTCTTTCAGCTCTTTCAGCTTTCAGCTGTTTCAGTTTCAGCTTTTTATCGATACCCGTTTAGTCCCAGGACTAAACATCAGGCAATCGATTTTTTTGTGTGAAAATTAGCACACAAACACGCGGCACTTCGAGATTCCTCGACTGCCTGAAATTTAGTCAGTTATTTAAAAAAAATACAGGCATATGGCCACAACAACAAAGACAAACAAATTATATCAAATGTATAAAGTGAACAATAGATGCATCAAATGTCCTAATCAACTGCCTATCAATTATAGGTCCTGCACCATTCACTGGATGCTTGGGGACAATGATAAATTGTTCTGGTAATGTTTGTGAAGGGGGACGAGGAAGGTCACGATATTTTGCTAGTCTAATATCAGTAGGGTTAGAAAATTTCACTTCCCCACTATGGTTGGTCACCCTATTCCCAGTACCCAATTTTTGACAAGACCCTTATTTCGGTCTTTATTCCGTTTCTCTTGTGATATTAATAAAATTAAAGCTGTTTCGAAGACTTTTCACAAAAAAGTCGACTGCCTGACGTTTAGTTCAGGCAGTCGAAAAATCTCAAAATGTCGTGCTTGTGTTTGCAACTTGTCAACAGTATTAATAATTTCGGTCTTTATTGCATTTCCCTTGTTGTATTAACTGAAATTACGGTTGTTCCGACGATTTTATAAGAAAAAATTAGACTGCCTGACGTTTAGGCACCGTTAAATGTAACAGTAGGGATTTCATCTTCGTCTCACAGCGTTTCGCAGGATCTTTATCCAGTACTCGATATGTTTTTGCTTTGTTTCTGAGCATGTTAGTTATCTCTTTTCTTCTTACATTACTCTGTCTCTTACAACCGATTTATTTCCCTTATCAGCACGAAAGCCATCATGATATCTTTGTCTTCCCGTAAAGTTTTCAGTGTTCTATACGTTCGTCCTTTGACATATTGTCCTAAGGGACTTTGGCTTGCTTCAAGATATTCACAACGCCAGTTCGAATCTTTGCCTTTTCGGTGTCGTCACGTCGATAGATTGCGCTTTCAACCTCAGCAACTTTATCCATCTTAGGAATAGTTTTGGGGGCTGAGCAATTTAAAAATCTTTTTTAAGTAAAGAAGGATTCTTTTTCATTCAATTCCTTAGTCGGCTTTGCTAGAGGTTTTAGTTCTCTTCCATCTTGATCTTTTCTTCTCTTGTTCTTCCATGCATTTATTTTTTTATGTTTTTCGAAGGTTGAATGTCTCAGTTCGTTCGATAGTAGATCAATTTTGATTTTCAATCGTCGCCATAATCGATCTCCACAAGCAGCTTGTACATCTTGAGTTCATGTCGCATGTTCTTTTCAAAAACATTTATAAGTCGGTGATTGTTAGCAATACATAACTATTCTAAATGTTTTCAGTGTTTACGTGTCTATGCTACCTATTCTCCAAACAAGCCAATATATTCTTGTAGAGTACTAAACTTCAGGTATGTTGCTTCATTGGCTGGTTGATGGTTAAAGCCTTTTGGGTATTTCCACTAATTGGCCATCCCGAAATTGAAAAGGAGACTGGGAATAAGCATGAACATGGTCCCCTTATGAAACCCTAAACCCTATTGTGCAAGAGGCCATGAGTGCAATTAATGTACTGTACCAAATTTGAGTCTATTTGGTTAAAGTCTCGCCAAATGGGAAAATTTTCAAATCTGCAAAAATGAGAGAGAATATACGGTTATATTGTTGGTATTTTTTTAGTTTAGTGCTAGGCACCAGTCCCTTGTTGAATTTCAGAATGGTCAGTTGTATTCCTAATGTTATTAGGAACAGAAACCTATAAGGGACTTGAAACGTGTAACGCCGTACCAACTGTTGCATCTCAATTCCTCATTTGACCTTATTTGAAAAAATTAAATTTACCCTATAGTCAACCAGAACGGGCCTTCAATCTCTTATCCGACGGCCGAATTGTCAAAATATGGTCATAACGTTCGTTTTCGAGTTTTTAATGAGCTTTGAATATTCCGATGCTTGGTACTAAAGAAATGTACGGGCGTTACATGTTTCAAGTCCCTAATAGGTTTCTGTTAGTAATTCATCTAGTACTTGTCCAAGCATTCCATGGCCCCAAAACAACAGCTCCTGAGTTTCTTTGAGAATGCAGCTAATTGCTGCATTTGTCCAAATGGCTGAATTGAATGTCTATGCAGCAAGGAAAAAATATGTATTGTATAATCCATCCATCCCATTGGTTCAAACAAGAAAATCTGCTATAATTTTACAAGTTAGCGCATTTTCTAATATTTTATTTAATATCTGATTCCGACTTCATGAAAGCTTTCTTTAGCTACAATATTAAGGCCTATAATATTAAGCTTCTTTTGGCTATTGTTTTGAGTGCTTATGATTGGATAAGAGGTTTTAATACAAAAGAAACTTTGTTTCAAAATAGAGTTTATCCACATTTTATTTCAAAAATGCGTTAATACCCATAGGTTGATATATAATCAGTGTGACGGAAAACCAAGACATTTGTATGTGGGGAAGTTGCAATGCCGCAAAACAATAGAGAGTTCTACAGTTCTTACGTGCATTGTTACTTAAGTTATCTGTCAGTTTTGAAAAATGCATTTAATAATTTTGCTATTCTAAAAGAGAAAAGAAACACAGATGTCACATCTTGTCAACAAACTAAAGTGTTTACAGCTGTCACTATATCTTTCTTTATACATACATTGTACATTGACCTGTAATGTTTTACTAGGAGTGGCAGCGTTGTTGCCAATGTACAGATTACTTATCCATCTACAGT